TGATCCGAGGGCTGGAGCACCTCTCTTATGAGGACAGGCTGAGGGAGTTGGGCTTGTTCAGCCTGGAGAAGAGAAGGCTGCGGGGAGACCTGATTGCAGCCTTTCAGTACCTAAAGGGGGCCTATAGGAAAGATGGGGAAAATCTTTTTAGTAGGGCCAGCTGTGACAAGACAAGGGGTAATGGTTTTAAGCTAAACCAGGGTAGGTTTAGACTAGATATAAGGAAGAAGTTCTTTACAATGAGGGTGGTGAAACCCTGGAACAGGTTGCCCAGAGAGGTGGTGGAGGTCCCATCCCTGGAAACATTCAAGGCCAGGTTGGATGGGGCTCTGAGCAACCTGATCTAGTTAGCGGTGTCCCTGCTCACTGCAGGGGGGTTGGACTAGATGACCTCTAGGGGTCCCTTCCAACCCAAAACATTCTATGATTCTATGATTATCTGTCCTTTGAATGCGTGGTGGATCAGTTTGCCCTAGTAGTTACCTTTGAAGATGGGAGAGAGTATGAGGATGGGCTTTTGCTATGCAAAGGTGCACTGGGGTGCTAGTCCACACTTAGAATTCTGTAGCAAAACTGATGTGGAGTAGTACTGCCTCCAGCAGTGTGGTGATCCACCTGTGTGTTGCAACTGGTTTAAAGTATATATATTTTTTTTTTTTTTCCCCTAAAACTGTCTTACGAGGTTGAATTACTTTAGGGATTATTTAAAATCAGAGTTCGACTAGTGCAGTTTGGCTAAATCAAATGGTTTGATTTGAGTTAATGTTACTGAAGACAAAGTGATTTGGATTTCAGTTTGTCAGCTGTTGAAAGACTTCAAAACCACTTCATGATAATTTCATCGCTGTGCTAGGAATGCGTGTTTATACAGCAGAATAACTGTGGCTGTCAGTTCATGATGTATGTCTGCTTAGAAGGCGGCATGAACTTAAGAGTAGGCCAGTTCTGGTTTCTAAGTTGCATAACTGTTCAGTAGCTGGCAGTAGGGAGGAGGGTGTTCTGCTTCTTAGGTGCTGTAAGCTAAAATACAGAAATGCCTTTTTCACTCTTGTCCTTTCTTAGCCCCTTATTGCTATAAACTTCTGTGTAGGGCTAACTTGAGAGGACTTGCTTGATCGAGACCACTAGCTCAGTGTACTTGAAACTTCATTAAAACCCTATGCCATGAAAGTAACACTTGAAACTTGAATCAGGTTCTGGTCAAGAGAAGTAACTCACCTCACCTGTTTTCTGTGTGTCTTTAAACAGATAATAGATGTAGAACATGATCCTAGTGCAGGTGACTCGCTGGAGTATGATGCTGAGTGGATTGCAGTCCTCAAGGCCACCAACAGTCTCGTTAACGTGACTGAGAGCTCATGGAATATGCCTGAAAATAATGGCCTTCATGCAAAGTAAGTTGCACATGCAGTAGAGAGGAAAAGTGGGATTTTGCTTGACTGCTCTACGCAGGCAGTTAGTTTTGTTTTGCAAACTTGGATGCCACCATTTGAGGGGCAAAAAATACATGGTGGCTGATCATCTTGCCAGTTACACTGCGAGATGGAAGATCGGGCTGGATTTTGGGGGTGGGTGGGCAAATGCTTATCGAGTGGGCTGACATCATGCACAAATCCTTGGTGGGGAGAGGGTAATCTCAGTATTGACCAAAGGCAGTGTACTTTCCTGGAAAATAATTTGAGAAATTAGGTGTCTGTTGTTAAGATGAATTCATCTTGAAAAGTTTCTCTTTGCACTGGGCACAGGAAAAGCCTTTTGACTAGCTGCCCTTGTTTTAACTTTATATGCTTACTTAGGTGGGATTACAGTGCGACAGAAGAAGCCATCAAAGAGGTGTTGGAAGAGCTGAATCATAACCTCAAAATTCCTTGTAACTTCACATTGACAGCTGCTTGTTATGATCCCAGCAAGCCCCAAAAACACGTGGAACCGGTTCATACTATCAATCCACAGACCACTGAATTTTGTGCGCAGTTTGGCCTCATTGACATCAATGGCAGGATCCAGCAAGCTAAGGAAGAGGGCTCAGTACGAGGTGAATACGAAGAGGAGGAGGAGGAAGAGGAGATGGACAGCACTGGGTCAGCAGAGGAACCCAGTGAATATAATACGGATACTTCTGGACTTTCATCCATTAATCCAGATGAAATAATGCTGGATGAAGAAGGTGGTGATGAAGACTTGAGTACATGTTCTGTAGATCCTTCCCCTGATCATCCTCCTGAGTTTTCTGCAAGTTTTTCTGACATCCGCATCATGCCAGATTCCATGGCGGTATCGTCTGACGATGCTATGGATTCCACTAATGAGGAACTGGAGAAATCTGGTGTGAGTAAGCAGGTGGAAGAGAAGAGCTTAAATGAGAGACCATTAAAGCGCATTGGCGGTAATGAAAATGGAAACAGTGGCATTAAAAAAATTAAGAGAAGGAATCAAGCTATCTATGCTGCAGAGGATGAAGATAAAACAGAGTAATACTTCATATGATGTATAAATAGTTCTCTCCATACCTTTTTATGGGAAAGTGGTGAGAACTATGGGGGACTATTTGTGCTTTTAATATTACTTGATCTTATTAACGTTATTTTCTTAAGTTGAAGAGGCTGTATATCCCCTCCGCAGGGAAGAAGATTTACCCGGATTAAACATCTAAGTCAGAAGCAGACTTTTCCAACAAAGTACTTTGTCAAAGGATTTAAAGATCGTGTATAATCAGTTGATTTTGCCTCAGTTTTTGGTTATTAGTGTATGTTACTTATCTTCAGCTGTACCACTATACAGGATTCACCATGCTCGTTTAACAAGAACTCTTGGACTATGACTCAAGTCAAAGTGAGAGGATGTCTGACTTAAAGGACTGAATGATTTGATTTTATTGCATTTTGGCTTGTTTTTTACTGAACTTTTAATGCAAAGTAGCATATGCAATAATTCGGTGAACTAAATTTGAAAATAGAATTCCCATGATAACAGAAAGCAATAGAAGAGTGAAGATTTTTGTTTCTGTTGATACTCATGCCATAGAAAAACTTCATGGCCATAGACAAAAGAGCGTGTATTGTCCAGTATTGGCTTTTAATTGCAGTTTTGATAGGGAACCAAGTTTCTTAATTTGAAGCACGACAGTTTTATGGGGACCATGGAAGAGTACATCTCTGTTCTTAAAAACTCACTGGTGTGCTGTTTCTTAAAACTTGAGAATGACATCTTAAAATTAAAACGCAAGTAGTGAGAATGAACAGCTTCCTTCCTTAGTGCGGACATCATCACTGTCACAATTCTTACTGACTAAGGCTATGTTGCACTTTCATATAAAGTGGCTGATGTTTAGAAGTTGCTTGAGACAGTAACGCCTACCATTATCATTAGCCCAAGTTTTCACCTGTCACTTTTCAGTAGTGTGTAACTGGCCGAATTCTTACAAACGGATTTGGAATCTTCCAAAGTACCTTCATAAACTTCAGCTGAGGGAGAACAGGAGCTGCCAGAATGTAGATCCTCTTGGAAGGTCTCTTTTTGCTGCTCTAGTTTGCCCTGAGTTATTAGCAAGCAAATTGCACTCCTTTGGCCTAAAAGGCTGTGAGGATAACACAACTTCCTGCTGTCATGAAAATGACAGTGTCTTCAAGAACTGTAGTGTATGTCATTAGACTCGTTAGTCTTACATCCGAGTTCTGCTGGCATTCTGTGCTGAGCTTTCGGAGTCCACAGATGGAGCGGGACTTCCTTGTGACTGTGCTGCCCTTGAGAGCAGAGGTAGCTCCTGCATGCTTTTACTCCTCTAAGGCACAGGCACTGTGGAGAAGAAAGCATCCTGTTGGAAAGAGGGAACCAGACAGGGAGCCGTGAGTGAAATGGACTGGTGAGCGTAGCAGGGAAGCACTTTAAGGTCCAGACTTCCATCCCAAAAATCACTTCCACATTCTGGGGTTCATCTTGGTTCCTCTCCTGTCAGCCGTTCACTATGAAAACTAAATGTGTATAAGTATTCAAGAGCTAGGAAATGGCAAAATTAATGCTCTCCGCGTTTCTGATTTACGGCTTTATACTGGTGGGTTGATGCCATTAACATCCTGGGTTTTTTTCCAGAGGATGCTATCTTGATTACTAAATTATTATGTGGGCCCTCTTAATACTGCTCCTGTATCTCTGTGCCTGCTCATCTGTCGGAACCAAAAAGAATGTGGTACAATGTGATGAAAAATGGGAAGCGTTTGGTGTAACCCTCAGGTTTTTTGGAGTAGCTGTGAGCTGTCAGCTAGATTGCTGAAGAGAGATCAGTATCTTTAAGGGTCCTGGGTCTGTGATGCTCAAATCTTAATCTTGCCTCAGGATCTGAAGACTACAATGGAAATAAAGTATTTTTAAGTATAAATTTTGTTACGAACTTGAAAAGTCTCTCAAGAAATCTGAGCATGGTATTCAGCTGTCAAATTCTACATGAACTGGAGTGGAAGATGTATGTTATATGTAATAAGACATTTTAGACTGACTTCATATATTTTTAAAGCAAACTATTCTGTCTTGTGCTGTTCCCCATCCTCCCCTTTCTGCTAAATGTGTTTTGGCTTTACAAGATAGAATACTGATTTTTTTTTTTATCTTTAAAGATTTTTTTTTAATGAACTATTTCAGTATCCATTGAACAGCGCAGCTGATAAATATACTTAACATAAAACTTTCTTGAGTATAAACTATCTCTGATCTATGTAGAGTTACTGTGCCCTTTCTTGTGGTTGTTCACACTCTCTTTGCAGTTTGAAGTGTCCAGCTCTGCTGTGCTCTCGTCTGTTCTGGATTTTCCCTGTCAGCAAGATCCTCTGCTCCATGTAGAATTCAATTGAAGCTCTGAACTTGAAGCTTCCCCAGTAAAAAAAGACCAAATACTCCAAAAAGTATGTAGAACACTAAAGAAGGCTGATAAAGTTTAATTGGTCTGAAGTCTCAAGAGTCTTCCAGTCCTCTTTAAAAGAAAGCTTTAAAGACTTTCTGAAAACTTTTGACTTTTTAAATTTTGGTGAGAAACGTGGAAAATGCTTCTCAGACCCTTGTACAAGTTATAATTACAGATTTTTCAGTATATGAGACTTGTACTTTGTCTAAAAATGCTTTTGCTGTTGCCTATAAAGTGCTTGAGAAAAGCCTTCACCTATTTCATTCTAGGTCAGCACACAGGTATTTTGTTCAAAGCATGTTATTAATCTACTTGGGGAAAAATGAAGGAAAAGGGTGTAGCATTTCTTTTTTCATGAGAAGTGGAGTATTTTTTTAAAAATTAAAGCTATTAAAGTCAACTTGTGGCAGCATCCCAAAGTATGTTTATTGTGTTCCCATTACCCTCTGCAATCTGCATTTACCTCACAGTAGCAAAACGTGACAGTGTGAACCCTGATGTCTGATGTTTTTACTATCCTCCCTGCCCCCCCTTCCCCCCCGCCTTTATTCTGTCTTCAGGAGCAATGAGTTCATAGAATTGGTATCCCCCTGCCTCAAAATGTGAAATACAGAGGGACTAATGCCAAAATACCAGATCTTATAGATAAGTCTATAGCAAAACTGACTGAAGTCCTGGGGTCTTGGGGGTGTTTTCTGAAAAAAAACCAAACCAAGCATTCATGAAAATGACAAAACCAATGACAAAACCCCCAAAGCCTTGATTTTATGTGCAGCAAGGCTGAGGCTGGGAAGCGGCATGCCATGCCCGTGTCCCAGATAAAGGTTGTGCCTGAGTAGGGGGTTCTCCACAACTCTTTAGCTCTCTGTCAACCCATGCCCTGCTCACACCCTCTTTGTTATATTCCAGGAACTCCACACCAAAAGGGTCAAGACCCAGGATGAGGATGTGTCAGAAGGACCCGCAAAACTCCACGATTTCCACTAGTGCGGTCAGAATAGAAAGTAGCCAAAGCTCAACTTGGTTGCTTGGAATAAAAAAAAAAAAAAGTCAGGCTGTTGTTGGACAGCTGAGGGGCTGTCCTGAAAGCTGTGTTAAGCGCCCCTATCCCACAGGGTGTGGAACGGGGGCTAGCAAAACTGCAGCGGGGGGGGTGCCCGTGGTGGTGCTGTGTGAGAAGCCTGTGGTAAGGTCACCCTGCCCCCTGCCTCAGCGTCAGGGCTTCGGACGGATGGAGTCAGCCAGCTGGTCCCGCGTTCGCTGCCTTCCTGGAGGGCTGAGAGAATTGAGGTGGGGAGGACAACGGGACCCGAGACTCCGAGTTTCCCGCCGCACAGGGGCGCGCCCGCAACAGACTCGCACCTGCGGGGTCCGCGCCCGGCCCCGCGCATTCCCGCTCCCCTGCGCGCCGC